TAACGCTCGAGACGTCAGCTTTTGTAATCGTTACGGTGGCCAATTTACCATTTCAACTTTGTTGATATATCCTTAATAGAAACTACTTTGAGCTGAATCACATGTGAACCCTATTCTCACTTAGACATCTCTTCCTGAGACCCATTTGCACAACTGACTCAAGGCTACGAGGGACACACGGCTCCCAGCCCAACCATTTGGCGACCTCAAATTGTAAATAAAAATGGTCCCCAGAAATGAAATTTCAGTTGTCAGAAAAAGATTTTCTGAGCAGTATTACACAACATTTGTGGAAATGTTTATTCTATCTTAACTTTATTCTAGAAGAGCACAGTCACAGCTTGTCATGTGTCCCAGCTAGGAGCACTGAGCTACCACAGGGGCCCATAGTATCTCTTTGTGTAGCCGATTGTTAATTTATAGTAAATGTACCAGATTTACCGTTTGCTTATATTGCTGACCATGTATGTAAATCAATGATAAATAAACGTTGAATTACCTTACCTGTGGTGTATAGTCGTCCATTTGCCTCAAAAATGATTTCTTGAGCGATTTTGAATAAGTTTGAGTTCGTCGTTGACTGTCACTTATAATAGAAAGACAAGGTTGGAAACACTGTTTTGAAAGAGTTCCAGCGCCCGTGCGATTTTTTCCCCGAAAATCGCATCGCTCCGCTTCCAAACATCGCAGCATTAAGGCCAAAAGATTTACGATTCTCCTCGTAACTTCCACTCGAAAATTCATCCAAACGGACCGGAGCAAGCCCTCGAAGAAACTCAAAATCCCACGGTATTAAAGCGTTTTTGGGATGCATAGCAAGATTCTCTCATATTTGCCAGCCAGAAACCTTCACGTGGTTGCCCTTTTCTGATTGGACGATGTAAACGACGACCAATACAAAATATCGTCGTCCAATCAGAAAAGGGCAATCAACGTGAAGGTTTCTGGCTGGCACACGAGAATCTTGCTAGGCATCCCAGACGCTCTAATACTATGGGACTTTGATTTTCTTCAAGGGCTAGCTCCGGTCCATTTGGATGGTTTTTCGATTGGAAGGTACGAGGAGAATCGTGAATCTTTTGACCTTACTGCTGCGAAGTTTGAAAGCGGAGCAATGCGATTTTCGGGGGAAAAATCGCTCGGGCGCTGGAACTCTTTCAAAACAAGGTTCTCATCCTTGTCTTTCTATTATAAGTGACAGTCAACGACGAACTCAAACTTATTCAAAATCGCTAAAAAAAATCATTTTTTAGGGAAAAGGACGACTATACACCACAGGTAAGGTAACTCAACGTTTATTTATCATTGATTTATATACATAGTTGATACATCGCTACAGGTGAAGCAAACGGTCAGCAAACGGTAAATCTGGTACATTCACTATAAAATAACAATCGGCTACACAAACGGATTGTATGGGCCCCTGTGGAGCTACAACGTAGAAATAATAACTTGTCTCATACTTGGTTTTTCTTTTATCATTCCCAAAGGTTTTGAATACAATACAAACAAATATTGATGGCTGTGCTTTTAATCACTTTTTGAGGGAGTGTAAACAAACAAATTCAAATCAATAATTTTTTGAGAAAAAAATTAAATGTATTAGGGACTGAAGGAAAAATGACATTTTTTTTAACCAAAAGTAAAGCAAGAAGAGGATTATGATAATTTTGTTCAACAACAATTAAGCATTTCCTCAATACCAGGCATGTGAATCTATAATGAAAATTCAGAATTTTCTTGAAAGACTAGCCAGTTGATGCTATTTAACAATTATTCCACGAGCGCGCGTTGGATATGAGATGATAGATAGCCAACGAGGCACTACGCGCCTCGTTGGCTATAATCATCTCATATCCAACAAGCGCGAGTGGAATAATTGTTTTATTAAAAACGCCCCTAAGAAATTATTATTTTGTAAGAAGAAACTGGATTTTTTAGCTCCCTTTTGATTTTAAGCTGACTCGTACGCTTACCATATTTGTATTATCCATTGATCCAGTTTTTAATAATAATATTTATAACATGACCAAAGTAAAGTGCACATTCTGATTGGTCAATTCAGCATCCACCATTTGCCCATGGGTGTACGCGAATGATGTGAGCAAATGCAAAGACTAGTTTTTTGCGCATGATTGTTTTTTCTGGTCACGTAAGATTTGTTAAATAAAAGAAGACTCTTTTGCTACAATGTATCTATGTTATGTTATAAAACAAATGGTAAATGCCACAGTGTACACTATTGAGTTATGGATGCACTTGGGAGGTTTGCTAAGCACTCAAGAAGCTAGAGTCGCTCTCGGCTTTCACCTCGCATGACTCTTACGCTTCTTTCATGCTTAGTGACCTCCTGC